GTCGGGCCCGGCGTTTCGCCAAAGACTTCCCAACACTTCACAGATGGAGGGCGGGTCGTTTTCAAACTGCAGTTATTGCTCTAGTCACGCGCGCGTTGGTCTTGAAAGTTCGCGGAAGAAATCACAAATGGACGGCGGGCAGCTTCAAACCGCGGTTATTGTTTTAGCACCGCGCACATTCGTTTCACTAAAACGTTGCAAGGGTCTCGCGGATGAAGGGCGGGCCATATTCAAAATGTGCCTCTCGCCTTTGCGCTGCGCACGTTCGTTGAAGGCTTGAAACAGTTCACCGGTAAAGGGCGGCTCGTTGCCACAATGTGTCTCTCGTCCCACCGCCGCGCCCAGTCGCCTTAACAGTTCGCAAACGCTTCCCGGATGGAGGGCGGCTCTTTTTGAACATGTGGTTCTCGCCGCCTCAGCGCCGCGCCCGTTCGTTTGAAAAGTTTACAATTTTGCACGGCGGACGGCGGCTCATTTTCAAAAAATTGGCTCTCGTCTTAGCGCCGCACACATTCGCCCAAATACTTTACAGCATTCCACAGGATTCTCATGGTGGATGCCCCAGAAGTGGCACGAGACCACGGTTTACAATCGCTGGGCCGCAACCAGTGACGTTGATTCGCCGCACTTTGGCACGGTGCTTTGGCACGTTTGAACATGGTCAAGCGGTTGTTTTCCAACGTGGCCCTCCCTGCAGAGATACGTACATCCTTATCTGTATATATATGACATATGTAAACCTATATATATATATATACATATACTTTTGCTTGGTTTTCGAAATATAAAAAAAACGAACTTCGGGGGAAGGTTTATTGCAACACCGTTGGCGATTCTTGGGGTTGCAGCTGTCTTCCTCCTCCCCTTCCTCCTCTGCGCCTCGTGTCTGTTCCTGTTGACCCTGATGAAGTCTGTTACCGTTGGCAAAACGCCCGCAACACAGCTGCGAAAAACGGTGACCGAGAATAAAACACATCAGCGAATTTATCCAACATATGAACGAGTCAGCAGTCTCGCGCCCTTGGACGCCCAGCCAGCCCGCTGCCAGGCTAGAGCGACGGATCTCCCCTCGAACTCCTTCGTCCTACGGCCGATCCCTCGCGTCAACATCGCCCAGATCCCTCGGCGCGGCGATTGCGCGGACCCTCGTGGCACTCCTGAAGACGCCGCAGCGAACGCACCCGTGCTCCCCCCCTGCCCCCCCTTGAGCCACATCGCGTGGAAGAGTGGCTGGTCCGCACAAACCTCGACGGCCCACCGCAGGGGAACGCGCTCATCGCGGCAGAATTCGTCCTCGATCGCCGCCGTGCAAAGAATGTACGACCCTTCGTCCATGCATTCGACTGCATGGCACTTGTGTCAGGGAGACGTAAGACTCGGGTACGGGGGACCCCGGTTACCCCGACGGGGCCATCATGAAAATGACGACTCCCAGTCTCGAACTTGACGCGATCTCCCGCTGCAAGCATCCCACGAAAACTGGACCGTCCAAATCCAAGACGCGCTTGTCAAAAAAACGGTGGCGAAACCGAGATCCGGCTTACTCGAGTCTCACGTTTCCCCGATTGTGGTCGGGGATAAGCTCCAGCGGGCAAGGCATGGTTCTGCGGGGCCGGCGCGCTCTCGGAACGTCCGGGAGTTCCTTCGCACATCGAAGCACGCGGGGCTGGGCGCGCCCGACGGGCCTGGGACAAGGAGAAGCGAGACCCGACTTTGGACGCAAGATCCCGCAAAGATCCTAGTTCGCCGTGACTAAAATGTCTTCCAACTAGCCTTTTGGAACGACGCGCTCGTGCGGAGCAGTTCGGAGTAGTTTTACCAGCACTACTCCGCGCGCAATCGCATCCCGCTCGATAATTCACGTGGTTTGGCGCGGAGTAGTTTCCGATCCCGTTCTGGGGAAACCGAGTCATTAACGTCTCCAGGATCGGAAACTACTCCGCCGCACGATCCCAGCATCATGTCACGTTAGGAATCTTGAGAGGGGCGGGAGAGATCTTCATCATAGCAGATTGAAGAATTTTTTGTCACGGCTGTGCATGGCCCATCTCGCCGGCACAACTGAAAGTATCAAACCAAATCTCAGAAAGCCCCACCTTCTCCAAATCCCGGTTGGGGCCTGTCTCCCAAATGTCCCGGGCCGCCTTGCAGTCCGTCGCTACTTCCACGGAATCTGGCCCCTCGAAATCTGAGACCCACGAAGAAAGCGCAAACTCCCCGCAGCCGCCGGTTCGCTCTGCGCGCGGCATCGGCCCGCGGGCAGATCCCAGGACTCACCCGTTGAAAGCCGCGGGCGCGACCGCCCATCCAGCGCGGGTGCATCGGGGCAGCTCTGGGCCCAGTCCAGGCCCATCAACGCGCGCAAAAGGGCCGAGACAACCGCTCGGTTTAACGACGCTCCAAAGCTTATGTCCGGCCTGGGCGCGCGGTGACGGCCGTTGCCGCTCGGATGGCCACGGGCGCTCCGCCGCGGGCGCTCCGCCGCGGGCACTCCGACAGCGGCGTCGTCGAGAGCGACGGCGTCTTGGACATCCAGACAACGGCGTGCAGCATCGCGGGCTGGGCAGCAGCGGAGGCGGCGACTCGGCGCCCCTGGCGGACCCCCGCAAGACTGGCACAGCGCGCGACAGTTCTGTCGTCATATAGCGCGAGCTGGGCGGGGTGACCTCCCGCCGCGATTCTCGCCGCCGCCGTGCATCGGAGCTTCTGGAGGACATCGGCGCCGGGCCCCGGCAGGGCCCCCCAAGTGAGCCCAGGAACGCGGGCCCCGCGAAAAATCGAAGCCACGCAATCCGAAAGGCGCAGCGCCCGCAGAACTGAATGTCGACCTCGACGCCCCGAACGGTCGCCAACATGCGCCAGCTGTTGCCCCCCCCCCCGGCCAAGTCTTCCAAAGGGATGGTCGCCCGCCCCATCAGGTCCACGAACATCTCGCCGCCCCCGCCCAGGATGGGGCGGGGCAGAAAAGGCGAAGCCGCGCTCAGCGATGGACAGCGGTGCCCCCCCAAGACGGGCCGACTGGCCCCATGCTAGAAATGGCAGGGCACGCGCGTCGCACGACGGGTCCATCTGCCCTGAGGGTCTTTGGGCTTAGATTTTTGAGCCCCACGTTTTGGGCTTATCTTTTTTCCCAACCATCCTGTGGTGTTGGGTCCTCGTTTTGAAGAGACGGTGGCCCGCGTCTCCTCCTCTCCTCCTCCGCCTCCTCTCCTCCTCCTCCCTCCTCCCCCTCTTCCCTGCGTTTCACCCACCCAGTACAGCGCTTCGTAGCCCCATAGGAGCTCCACCGAAGGCCCCAATACCCGCGCCCGCATGCGTCACGCACACCCAATTCGGCACACCCCTCACACGCTTCGTGGCTCCATAGGGAGCTCCGCCGAAGGCCCCCGTGCCCGCGCCCGCATGCGTCACGCACACCCATTTCGGCACACCCCTCACACGTTTCGTGGCCCCATAGGGAGCTCCACCGAAGGCCCCAGTGCCCGCGCCCGCATGCTTCCCCACCACCCATTTCGGCACACCCCTCACACGTTTCGTGGCCCCATAGGGAGCTCCACCGAAGGCCCCAGTGGCAGGGTCCGCATGCCTCCCCACCACCCATTTCGGCACACCCCTCACACGTTTCGTGGCCCCATAGGGAGCTCCACCGAAGGCCCCAGTGGCAGGGTCCGCGTGCCTCCCCACCACCCATTTCGGCACACCCCTCACACGTTTCGTGGCCCCATAGGGAGCTCCACCGAAGGCCCCAGTGGCAGGGTCCGCATGCCTCCCCACCACCCATTTCGGCACACCCCTCACACGTTTCGTGGCCCCATAGGGAGCTCCACCGAAGGCCCCAGTGGCAGGGTCCGCATGCCTCCCCACCACCCATTTCGGCACACCCCTCACACGTTTCGTGGCCCCATAGGGAGCTCCACCGAAGGCCCCAATGGCATGGTTCGTATGCCTCCCCCACACCCATTTCGGCACATCCCTCACACGTTTCGTGGCCCCATGGGGGGTTCCACTGAAGGCCCCAGTGACTGGGTTCGCATGCGCCCCCACACCCATTTCGGCACACCCCTCACACGCTTGGTGGCACCATAGGGAGCTCCACCGAAGGCCCCAGTGGCTGCGTTCGCATGCCGCCCCCACACCAACTTCGGTGCACCCCTCACACGTTTCGTGGCCCCACAGGGAGCTCCACCGAAGGCCCCAGTGGCTGCGTTCGCATGCCGCCCCCACACCAACTTCGGTGCACCCCTCACACGTTTCGTGGCCCCATAAGGAGCTCCACCGAAGGCCCCAGTGGCAACGTTCGCATGCCGCCCCCACACCCATTTCGGCACACCCCTCAAACGGTTCGTGGCCCCATAGGGATATCCACTGAAGACGGTACTCACACCAGCATTACTCATAACTGCATATGGTTGGGTCCTGCGCCAGGCTAATTTGGGTGGTCTTATAATTTAAGACATCATTGCTTGCGTGTAGTTCAAAGGTAGTGTTTCCATGGATGGTATATTACTTGCGCATTTTGCAAGGTCGACAACGAAACGTCACTGCTGAAAGGACGTAGACGCGCATTTTGCAAGGTCGACAACGAATCGCCACTGTTGAAAAGGACGTATGCTTTAACATAGCGTTCAAAGTGGGGTGGTGGTGGTGTGTGTGTGTGTTGGGGGGGGCTGCTCAGGATAGCTGTAGCCAGGGAAGAAGCATATGGAGTACTACAGGATAGAACTTTGAAAGGGCTCAGGATACGGATTCTGGAAAATGTCCTTCGGCGCTCGGTGCCCGCAATATGCGGGCAAGCGGGGTATTACCCCCGACCAGCCAGGAGCTCCTGCGCGTTCTTTGTCTCTGGCGTGTTGCACATTGTGATCCATGTCCTCATGTCCAACATTACTTCACCTTGGTCAGTTTCCCACTGTCCTCGCCGTCGCCGTATTTTGGCTCGAAGCGATTGCGCCACGCGGTTTCGGTACCTCTCGGCTTTCGTTGGCGACGCACCCAGATTCATGGGCAAGAAGGCTCGCGGGAAGGCTTTCGCAGGTGGCGTCGACGCCATTGTTGCTGCGATCCAGGACAGCGTGACGTGCGCGACGTGGTTGGACTACCCAGAGGACGCCAAGGTCATGGATGTCAAGAAGATCATCAAAACCAGGCAGTGGCTGCAGAAACTCAAGGTCCTCTACGATCCCCTCGCCTTCAAGATCACCGATTTCAAAGCGGCGCTGAAGGAGATTGCCGACAACGGAGATGCGTGGGAGAAGCCGCTGAACAAGAAGCACGTGAAACAGTGGACACATGTGCACGCCAAGCGCATGATGCTGGTCTGCCAGCACTACGCCAAGGTGTTGCGCAGGCCGACGCTGCCGAGATGGGTGGAGAAAATGACACACGCCGACGGCGACGACGATCCAGCAGAGGACGGGGCCGACGCAGGCGAGGACGAAGAAGAAGAGGATCCAGCAGATGAGGAGGAGGAGGAGGCAGGTGGCGATGAGAGCTCGCAGTACTACAGCGAAGACGAGCTCGGTCTCCCAGGCAACGGCGGAAGCGAGAACGATGGCGAGAAGTCCCTTGTCGACCAGGCCGCTGGCCAGCGGGCTGGAACAGTGGTTACCCACTACGGCTTCTGCGACGAGAAGAGGGCTGCCTGGAGGGCTCTGTCTAGCGACCCGAAGGCGATTGACTACACGATGGATCTTTACATCGAGCCGCAGATGAAGGATAATGACGCCGTCAAGGCTCGCTGGGGCAAGACCGCGGTCGGCGAGGAGCTGCATCGGGAGGTCCAGGAGGTCACAGTCAAGGAGTACGTCGAGATGATGACCGTCGAGTGGGAGAGCCACAGGGGCCCCTTGAGAGTCATGAAATTCAAGGATGACGAGACCAAGGCCATCGAGATCCACAAGACCTGGAAGCAGGCAACGTCGAGAAAGCAGGAGATGCTGCTACTCTTTTTGGCGGAGAACGCAGATCAACCCCGCAAGGAGCAGAAGCGCTCGCAGCTGAGCCAGCTCATCATCGAGAACTGCATCATCGACGACGAGTGGGGGCCTGAGCACAAGGGCGAGAAGGACATCATGACGCCCACCAAACGCGCGATGGTAGCATCGCGACAGAATGCCTTGGCCACCTTCAAACTGATCAGTTGCAAGATCGCGGACGGCACCATCTCGCCTGATGGAGCGACCGCCGAGAGGGACGAGTTGATAGCGAAGTACGGCTACACCACAGGTAAGCGAACACAGACCGATAGCTCGATTGATGCGCCAGCAACGAAAACTCAGAAGATGTCGGCGAAGACTGGCGTCACTAAGTGCACCGTCGTGGATGACGCCCCCGCCAAGCCTAACAAGAAGATGCTGGCTGCTCCGACGAGTACATCTACGAGTACATCTACAGCTGCGTCCTCCTTCACCGTGCCGCCCTCGCGCCTTCACGAGGCCTTCGAGGCCATTGCCGATGGCTCCTTGCAGTTGGACGAGTGCGACTTTGAAGAGTCGCAGACGTTTTAGTCGCGAGCCTGGGGGCCCTAAAAAAAGAGACAAGTGCTTGATCCGACGTCTTGAGCCTCTGCTGCAGGGCAATGGCATTCCGACGTGCCGAGTAAAACATGTTATAGATGCTGCCGCTGGTCATGCTTCCATTCCTGCTGCTGCTGTCCCCTCCTCTTCCCCCGCCCCCCCTCCTCCTCCTCTTCCTCCTTCTCCTCCTCCTCCTCCTCCTCCTCGTTCAGTTCAGCGGGACAGCAAACGGGTAGTGAGTGAAAATTGCCTGGAGTCCCAGGCTTCTTCGGGGGCGTCCAGAAACACATTTTCAAGGCTCGATGTTCCTGGGAACCGTCTCCGTAAACGACGCTGAAACCTTCAGCCGCTCCTCCCCTGGGGCTCTCCCCCTCCTCGCGGGTCCTCTGGAGCTCACCGGTGGATTCGGAACAATCCTCCTCCTCCATCTCCCCATCACCATCCTCCTCCGTAGCCATTTTGGGTCAAGTTCTAGAGGTCGGCCAGCTTCTGGGATACGTTTCCTCACCCAGACATGTCCTCGCCACCTGAGCTCACGCTTGAGAGCCTCGTGCCTCCTGAGGCTCTGGCGGCGCTGGATGGCGCAGTGGCGAATCAGACCGCTGCAGGTGTCGAGGACGGGCTTGGCAGGGCGCTGCAGGCCTCGCTGGCGGACAGCAAGACCAGGGGCCCGCCGCCAACGGCTGAGGAGGAGGACCTCAAGCGCGTCATCCAGACAGGCTCGCTCGACGTCCACCCCAAACTCGGGAAGGCGTTCATGTACCAGAAGAGCTGCGACCAGGAGCTGAAGGAGAACTGGGAGAAGACCAAGAAGTCAAAGGACATGCGCGACGAGTTCAAAGTGAATTGGGCCAAGAGGGAGCTCGGCAAGAGGGTGGCGAAGCGCCAGAGGACGCAGACAACGAGCTTCGAGAATTTCAAGAAGGGCAAGTTCAAGCCGTTCAGCGTGATCGTCAGGTACGAAGGCTCCGATCCATGCGCGGTCAAGGCTGCCTCGAACATCTGTCGTACGTGCATCGCCCTGTGGAGGAAGAACATTACTTGCAGTGGAGTTCCTTTTGTCCAGTGGAATGCCTTCAGCAAGCGATGCGAGTTCTTGCACTTGGAGACTGGCTTTTCCGACATCGTCCAGGACTGCTGGAAGATAATGGATGATGTCGACATCGATTTGGGCAACTCCACGGTTGGCAATATCAGCCTGTGCCCAAGTGGCGGCGGCAGCCGCGGCGATGATGCCCCGACTAGTGCAACCCCGAAGGCGAAGACGAAGGCGAAGGCGTCCGCAAAGCCCAGCTCGCAGAAGCGCAAGGCCTCAGCTATTGACCCAGGCCCCGAGGAGCACTGCGACGACGACGAGGACAAGAAGGCGGCCAAGAAGGAGCTCGACAAGAAGTTGCAGCAGTGCGTGAAGGCGAAGATCGACATGGACTCGGCCTGCTCTTCGTGTGCCGACGTCTTGAGCCTCATCGGCAAGGACCCTAAATGGAAGTGGGCCGACAACGAGGAGGTACTGAAGCCTTTGAAAAAGGCGCGTGCCAGGGTCGAGGCGATGAAGGAGATTTCGTTCTGGGCGACCCTGGCGATGCACGGCAAGGATTTCCCGAAGCAGGTTCGCAAGGGCCTCGACGAGACGGTGGTGCGGAGGGAGATCAAGAAGTTGGATGAGTTCGAGAAGAAGGTTGCGTCCCTGTTGAAGCGCGCTGACGAGCTGAAGAACATGCACCGCCAACGCATCGACAACGACGACGACGGGAGCGCCTCGCAGTGAACCGTGCGTTCTAGCGAGCTCTCCTCCTCCTCCTCCTCCTCCTCCTCCTACTAGTAGGAGTAGGGGGAGGAGGAGGAGGAGTAGGAGTAGGGTGAGGAGGAGGAGGAGGAGGAGGAGGAGGAGGAGGAGGAGGAGGAGAAGGAGGAGGAGGAGGAGGAGGAGGAGGAGGAGGAGGAACGCGAGCAGGAAGTCTCCTGCCATGCACCTTCCTCCGCCTCCTACTCCCGCCCCCGTGGGCGTCGATCGGGGTCGACGCAAGTGTTGCCAGCGGCCTGCGCCATTCTGTCGGAATGCGTTCTCGTGAGCAGGCGCTGCAAAGGATTTCCATGGCATTTGATCGTGAAACGGTTTCGCCCGTGCCCTCAGCCATCCGCTGCGCCTCGAACCCACTGGAGCTCAGACCAGACGTGCCCTAGTTCAACGATTTCTTGGCCTGGGCGCTGGTCCAGAGCCAATTTCACGAGAGTTCTAATTAGTACATTTTAGAACATTTTAGTACTAGTACATGTTAGTACATTTTTAGTACTTGCGTTTACATTGATATTTACACTAGAAATCAAGGTTTAGAACAACAAGTACTAATTAGTACATTTCGAATGTACTAGAACATTTTAGTACATTTTAGTACTTCGTGGAACTACAGATCTCGAGCGTGAAAGCTGACGTCGGTCCGCATATTTGCTGTGATGTGGTATGGCTTTGCAAGACTACCCCTCCCGAAGTTCGCGTCGTGGCCCCTCGCCCGAGGGGGGGCCGCGTGGGCGTGCCTGAGCCCCTTTGCCCCCGTCATCGCCACCCCTCCACCCCTCTGGCCACTCCAGGGGGCCTGACAAACGTTGGCTGCATATCTTCTGCATACCGAGCCTGGGGATCCCGTAGCCATTTTAGCTCAAGCCAGCGTTGGCACAAGCCAGTCCAGTGCATGACCAGCTCTGCTTCGAAGTATCCTTGGGAGGACGATGCGCCTTGGTTGGCTCGCAGGTATGCTGACGAGGACGGCGCTGGGTCAGACTCAGACGTCGCCTTCGATTACGATGACGTTCAACCTGACATAGCTCAGGAGTGTTTCTTTGATTACGTTGTCGCCCTGAAACATAGCGACACGATCTCGGCGAAAACAGCCTGCATCATCGCATTCTGAGCCTCGAAGTCGGGCGCTCTTGGCGAGATACGTTCGTTGGCTTTCGGGCCGAACAAAAGCAGCGGTGCGTATTCCAAGCATTTCGACTGCGTGGTCAATAAGATATATGTAGTGATTCGATGTACACATTTACAGCGTCTGGTCAATTACGTGCAGATGCTTCTTCCGTCGAGTTGCGACTTCCCGCAGTTCTGCCTCATGAAGTTTTTGTCGACGAGGTTCGGGACGACCCCAGCTTGTTACGCCGCGCCGCGGCCGATCGTGAACAGGGCAAGCTCCCTCGTTCTTTTTACGATCACCCTGTCGTGCAGGGCGCCTCTGCTGGAGTTGTTGTATTGCCTTTGCTCGCCACGACGGTCTCGTGGGCGTGTGGACCTATCTAGTCCACAGCGGCAAACGAATTTTGGTGGCTGTGTTGAGAAAGTCTGAAATGTGCGCGTGTGGCTGCCTGGGCTAGTGCACGGTGCTTCCCCTGATGACGCTTCTCAGCTGGTCTTTCCAGGCTTGCGCTGATAACAAATACCCCGATCGACGGCACGATGGCAGTAACTGGGACGACGATGCAGATAGATCTGGTCTGGCTGGGACCCCGCTCGGTTTCATCGTGGCGCTTATCTTGATCAAGTGTGACATTGCAGAGTATGCAACGACCATGGGGTTACCAGGCTGCAGCTCATCTGAACATCCGTGCCCCCTTTGCACGCTGCCAACTGCATCACTTCCAGGCATTCGCCACTTCAGTGCTTTAGGCAATGATGCCGCCAAGACTTGGCAACACTATTCTGACGCCTGCAGTCGCTGCGAGATTACGGTTGGCGTGACGGACGAGACATTCCCTCTGCTTAGAGCCGCGTTGCGCCCAGACAGGCGGAAAGACAAGTCTAGAGGCTGGGCGTTGGTCGCTGACGTGGCCGTGGGTGGAGTGAATTTGCAAATCGGTGACAGGCTCGAACCCACTCCAAGCATGATGTTTGTGTCTTCGTTTTTCTCAAGGCCAAGGCCATTCGTTGCAACGTTTTGGAGGCGTTCGCAAGAAACCGCAGCCCGACATAGGAACCCGCTGTTTTCTGTCTGTCTGGGCGTGGTGCCTGCCCATGTGCTGGGTGTGGATACCCTGCACACTGTAGCGCTCGGTGTCTGCAAATACTTCTGTTCTCGTGCTGCTCACGCCCCCATTAGTGCCAATGCGTTCCAAGTGTCCAACGCACCAGAATCAGTGATGCTCGATGCGTCGGTCAAGAGTTTGCGTGCGGAACTGTTCAGGTGGTACGCAAAAGAAGATGCTGCTGGCCGCAAGGACCATACACGGGTCCAAAATCTAACGACTTCTATGATTGGCTCGTCGTACCACCACCAGATAGGTTTGCATGGAGCCGAAACCGTTGCGTTCACAAAGTTTGTTGTCGACCTTGTGCAAACAAAACAGAGTTTCTTAGATCGCACGTTGTTCCTTGATTTGAACGTTGCAGGTGTTTCTCTCAGAGAGGTGCTGCGCCTCATCAAGAAGATGGGTGATTGCCCCGTGGTGGATGCTGGCGACGCCGAGACCGGCGGCGACGACGGGTGGCGATACGGGGGAGGGGGAGGAGGAGGGGGAGGTGGAGGAAGAGGAGGAGGAGGAAGAGGAAGAGGAGGAGGAGGAGGATGCGGAAGATGAGGAGGAGGAGGAGGAGGAGGAGGAGGAGGAGGATCACCAGGCGTTTATGGATCATGCCAAGGCTCACGTGCGGTGCCTGCCCCGTATTGGCATCGACCCCAAGTTCAAACACCATATGTTTCTGGAGCTGGGTGCTCGTTTGCTGTGGCACGGCGGGCCTGGGCGCTACGCGTGTTGGGAGGACGAATCCTTGAATGGAGAGCTCGTGCCAGTGGCCCAACGGGCTCACCGCTTGGTCTGGGCCCGACGCGTGCTCCAAACGTGGTCGAAGTGCGTATCTTCACGCAAACGCAAACGAATGCTAGAGCAATAAAAAAGAAACAATGCATGCTCATCATCATCATCATCATCATCATCATCATCATCATCATCATCATCATCATCATCATCATCATCATCATCATCATCATCATCATCATCATCAT